TCTAAAGCCTTGCCCTCCAGGAGCTGTGTGATCCTTCAAAGTGTCCCTTACCTTTCAGAGAGGCCACTTTCTGCACCTCTGACAAGTTAATATCCTGTCCAGTGCTTTGTGTGTGAGACAGAATCCCTGCTGCACATTCTCCATATGGTTTCATGTCTGACCAATGGCCCATAATGAAGCCACCAAAGCCCTCTGATGACGCAGCATGGCAGATTCACTGCCCGAGGATATTCTGCCATCTGGACCCTGGTATTCCTCAGCATCCCTGAAGCATCACAGAGCTGCTATTCCTGTCACTCCAAGGGTCTTTTAAAATTAGATATCACATTTGCAGGGCAGGGCTGGCACCTCTCAGGTTGGCCACACGAGTAGGTGAGGAGCAGAGTTTATCAATTCAAGAAACTCATAAAGCAAGCATATATCCTAGCAGGGTGAGAAGCCAGGCAGATGCTCTAAACTTGTGTGGATTTTCTTGCCTCATCTCTTGATTCTTTCTTAGCTTATGGCTCAAGAGAGGACCTAGTGGATCATAATGAAAAGCCTCCATTGTCAGAACTCACGAATCACCGAGCCAACCTTTATCTTCTCTTTCACTCCCCTGCCTCTCTTCTACTGCTTAAACCAAATTATCATAAAGCTCTCTTAATGATTTCTTCTTATCTTACTTCAACCATGTACATTTGAAAACACCCAAAAGGCAAACATATAGACCTTTCTGAACAAAATACATACACCAAAAACTGTATAATGACTAACATTTTCCAATTTCTCTGAGTGATCATTATCCTAGAAAAGGTATCTCCATGTTGGCCATTCACTTGACTGTTCAGATCCAGATAGTCCTGTGTGGTTATGTTCACTACACAGTGGCAACAGCAAAGATTATAAATGCCTGTGTGTATTAGAATAAAATGATTTCAACATTATGAATTGGGCTCCCAGGTGCAGGGGATTGGCACAGATACATATGGTATTCTCTCCAAGAAAAGTATAATTTTATTGGGATTAGAACCCCTTCCCTATTTTCCAGAAAAAAATTATATAAGTATTAAGCCATCACCAAGAATACACTGAGCATGCATTATGGACAATGAAGAAAAGCCATGCTCAGCCTAGCTCTATAAACAGATTACTACCAGGTTGAAATGAAAAGTAATCAAGAAACCCCCAATTACTTAAGTTGCATTGGATGACTGTCCTTGTCACGAGAGGTCAGGATCCCATAATCCCACACAGGCCATGGACTACCAACACTGCATGACCTCCAGCTGGGGGAAAGTTCAGAGAGGACCGCCATAACCCTGAAAGATCCCCCAACAGGGCAGCACAGGCTGGATTTCAGAGATGGGGATGTACTGCTTATGAAAAGGTGGAGGGCTGAGAGTGTGGTGTCCTGCCAAATCAGACTCATGGGCAGATTTACACTCTGAAAATAATGATTCAGAGGAGGAGAGAAATGAATAGGATTTAAAAACTCTCTCATTTCATTTGAAATATAATATAAAACAAAACACTAGCAAAAAGAAAAAAAAGTACTCTAAGAAGTGACAGTATATTTTTGCACCTTGGTTCTAAGCTGCGAGACACTCCACTGCTTATGTAAATGATCTATAACATTCTTTTCTTTCTATCTTGGCCTATGGATGTGGGAGTAGGACCCTTTGAAATATCAGATCAAAAAGGAAAGACAAAAAAAATACTGTCTTAGTATTAAAATATGAGAATAATATCCTATCAGGACAATGATAACACAGTGTCCAAAACAAGACAAAGGCAGAACACATAGGTGAGGGGAAATGTTAGATGCCACAGACCAGGAACATTTCAGAAATATGTGAATACAGCAGGCTCTGCATGGTGATTGCACTGCAGAAGGCTTTCCAATCGGACTTGGTCACAGGTGGACCAATCACTCTGTTTATCCAAATGTCACTTAGAGCAGAAAGTCATCAAAATGGTCCTCTTTCTCATTCATGTTCCACACAGAGGGAACATGGAGGTGACTATCAAGAAGGAATGGACTTGACTGCCAGAGTTTTCCAGATTTAAATCCTAACTCTGGCAATACCACCTGTGTAACTAAGCCTTTCTTTGTGTCCCCATCTCCACAGTGAATGCAAAGGTAGAGTCCTACCTCGTGGGACTGTAAGAAATTAAATTAGCAAATGGTGTAACTGTTGAAGAACAGCACTGACATGTGGTAAGCACTATGCATTTCAATCACATTTTTGGTAAGGCCAAGGCTACTTCTTTGCCTAGAGATCCTATTATCAGAGTTTCCATTAAAACCATACGAAGAGCAGTTTGCATGCAGAATCCCTCTACATTTAGTATGATCCAACCAATTTGGAGAGGCAGATACCTATATTTATTTTGGTCATGAACACTGATTTTTTTAGTAACTTGCCTTTAAATATTTTTGAAATATTTGGCTTTGTTTTTTTAGAAACAATTCTCATTTTGCATCACAGTTCATTGGTTTATATACTGTGTATGAAATTAATTATTAATTTCTTAATTACATGTTTACCATGACAAGTATTCCTCACATAAACAAATTGAGATACAAACATAACTCATTCTTGTTGGGCATTCAAGCCAATTGGTGAAGTAAATATGATTAATTAGAGAGCTTTTCATTAGTTTGCCAGCATTCATTAAGTTGAAGGTATGGTTCAGTATGATTTGTAAGAGGAAATGTTGAGTATTGGTTAATCTGACTAAGTAGATTCAGTATAAGATCAATTAGAGACCCCAGTCCCTGTAAGAATATGACTTTATTATTTTATTTGCTGTACTGGCTTATTAAGTCTTTAGAACTAAGCTCAAATTGTGATTTTAATAGAGGGATCCCCAGTCCCTTTTATTTTGAGACAGGGTCTTGCTAAGCTGTTTAGGGCCTCACTAAGTTGCTAAGGCTGGCCTTGCGTGTGCAATCCTCCTGCCTCAGCCTTCAGAGTTGCTGGGATTACAGGTATGCACCACCATACCTGGAGGGGGGTTCTTCTTAATTTAATTTATCACTCATTCTCCTAGAGATATCATTTTGGAAATGAAATCAATACAGAAATTCATTACCAATGTAAAGCTTTTAATTTTCAGGTTAGTCTCCTCTCTCTCACCTGTCCTCATGATGAACCTGGCTTTGTGTTTGAGGGCAGGCATCCCACTTTCTATCATTCTTCTTCACGTAACTGTTAACAGCCTATCTGTGATAAATATTATTTAAACCAGGATGGCTCCTCGAAGTGAAAACTATTTAAAGAAGAGTACAAAGTTTGTTGACAGAAAATACCCGATCAATAAACACTGAGTTCTGTTGCAAGGATATACATCATCCTCTGCCATTTGAACATGGATTAAAGAAATTCCTGATAGCCAATTAAAAAGCTTAAACATCTACAGCACATGTGTTTACTATGCACATCAACTATTCATGATTTATAAGTAGGGACTGCAGATCCTTAAACAATATTCCAGAAAAGCCTTAAGTTAAAACAGACGAAACAGAAAAAATTTGTGAAGATGCAACAGCTGTTAAAAGTAATTATAATATTGGATCTTGATTATGAGATTGCAAAAGAAACATGACTTTTTACAAATGCAAGATCCTTATGACAAACATTTATTGTGATTGGGACCAGGAAATAGAATAGAGATAAATGACTTCCCTCTCTCCCCCACCATAATTTTTGAGTCATAAATTATGAATTATGCTCTAACAGATAAAGCAGAGAGGAAATTAATTTAAGAGATGAGATCTATTTTGTAATTCAGAGAGCTGTTTTATTTTAATTTGGGGGGGGCAAATTACATTTTGATATTCAGCTTTACCAAACATCTTTCTTTCTCTGAAATGAATCACAATTTCCCATTATTTCTCTGAGGAGTCGTAAGATGTTCATGCCAAAATTTGGAGGGTAAATTAGTTACAAAGTCTGGGCCATTTAGAAAAGTACTGTCCAGGAGTGCTTTCTACAATAATGAAAATATTCTACTCATGTACTGTCCAATTTGAATATCTGGACTGTAGCTAGTTTGACATATGACCATAGAGTTAATTTCATGTCAATTTCATAAGGAAGAATTTAAATAGCACTACATGGCTATCGGTTCCAGTGCTGGACGGTGTAGTCTAGATGATCAGAGGGCGCAGAAGGGCCTTCCTTTTGGCCACCTGACCAAGCGGCTGTGGGTTGCCCTTTGTAAATTGCACAAGGCGCCTGTGGAGCCTGAGTGCACCCTCTGACAGCTGAGTCCTGAACAGCTCTGAGAAAAGCTCAGAGGGACTTGTTTGAGCAAATATGCACAATAATAGGATCAGAAAGATGGGAAACAGCAGAGCTTGGCCCTGCAAGCCCCCTCTACCAATTCATGTGATTCCTGGCCATGGAGTGTATTCCTCAGTGCTTTGTCAGGGACAACTTCAAAAGGATTCAAGTGGCTTGACTCTCCTCAACTTTCCATGTTATGGAGTAAAATGAAGAAAGAGTTCAGTTAGAGTAACTAAAAGACCTGCAAAAATACTGAGATAGAATCCAGGAAGTACAGTGATGTGAAGAGGGACTCTATAGAGAGAGAGAGTGATTATAGAAAAACAAATCCCAGTTGCATTTTTTATTATGGAGAATTGGAAATACAGAAATGCTCTTTGTCATTACATAGAACTCTCTCTTGCTTATCATGGAATGCATGGTTCCTCATACTAGTCCCCAAAGCTCTCAATTATTTCCTAAGTTCATCCCATGGTTCCACTTATTTTACTGGAGGACACCCTTGGATTGTCCCTTTTACCTGTGTATTCTTTGTTGGTGCATTTCTTTATCTGCATGTAGCTTTCAAAAAAGTCAAGAATCTAAAAGATTTTCAACTTTAATGACATCTCCTGAGACAGGGAAGGATTGGAATTTTGGTACACTATGCCTTGCCTCTAGAGATGCTGGTGATTTTTGAAATTAAGTAACTTCCTATCAATAGAATTTTAGTAGCAAAACACATACCTGCAGGAGCAGATCAGAAGTTGGTCGGACTCGCTGTTGGAATAGGATGCTTAGTGTTCGGTTCTGTTGTTCCAAATCAAACACTCTTGTTTTCAACTTTACACACTCCTCCCTTAGATCCTACAACAAACACATTGGAAAGGGGGGAAAATGTCTATAATGGAAAGACATCTTTGCATATTATAATCATATTTTATACATTTCAGACACATTAGTAAAAAAAATAGGATTTTTATTCTTCGAAGTCCCCCCAAATAAATCACAAACAACATTTTCTTCCACAGGCCATTGTCTGATGGAATTATTATGTGCAGAGAAGGCCAATTTTAAAAAAAAAAAGCACCTTGAAATCAGAAGTGCATTAATGTAGCATGCTATTTTTGAAGACTCTAAATCTTAGCGATATAAAGTCAATTTAAATTTCCACCTATATATTCTGCCTTTTCACTGTCTTCATGAAAGCAATCACAAAGCACAAATCACAAGTACAACAATGTTTTCACAATGAATAGAGATTTGATGAACTAAAGAAACTATCACTTTTGATGGAGTCTTTCGATGTCATTTGTGGAAATGAGTTGAGATGCTTGGCGCCTTGGCTAATAGAGTCAGCGAAGCATTTAGTGGGAAAGGGGTAGCTCTGAAGTGAAGGCTTTTAAAAAGCACTTACAATTTGTCCAGCCAGTGGATTTCCAAATCTTTTGGGGGCATTTGGGTCTCAGTGCCAGAGAAGAAATGCAGTCAGCCCACCGGGGCAACTTTTCAGAGGAGCTAGAGTAGCTCTTTTGAATAGTTTATTCCCCAGTTCACAGGTAGGGAGCTGACACTGGGGAGCTTTAGGAACCCCACCAGGGAACTGCCTTCCTATGGCATCTGTGATAAAGGTATTTGTGGGCTTAATTGTCTGCACCTTCCCTATGAGGTTCAAGACAGACTCAGTAGAATAATGCCTTCAAAAGCTTATCCTTTTCTACATTTCAGACTTAATTTTTTACTATTTCCTAATGTTTTTTAAAAAAATGTATTCTGCTCTTTTGGAGCAGAGAACATGGGTCTGCTTGTGGTTCCTGAAAGCGCTATACATTCCTGCTATCCTCTCCTATCTGCCATCAATTTCTCTTCTCACCTCCTTCTTTCAGACCATATTTGGCCAGCTGATTGAAGCCCACTTCCAACTTCTTCCCCTCTGACACTTCATATGGTATCCCCCAAAGACTGCTCCCTTTCCTGAATTCCCATAAGTCCCATGTCTCCTCTGTGATATTTAGCATATAATACTTATGTATTAATCCCATTTTTTCTGTGGTGTAGATTTCTCTTGTCAATTAAATGACCTTTCCTTCAGCAGGCCAGCACAAGATACAAAATAAACAACCACACCAGCATATTGCTCTTAACACTCTTTTCATTCCATCGTCTAGCACAGCACCATATATAGTAGGAGCTTAATAAATGTTTGTAATTACTTTGCTAGAAGAATGGCAATGGCGGTTCTATTCTCCAGTGATAGGCATGATAGAGTTCAAGTTTCTCAACACTTCTAGTTTGTGGATGTCTGTATTCTGCCATGGGGCAGTGACAGGCCTTAGTCAAGGCTCTTGCAAGGAAGGGAAAGCACCAGGTGACAGGTCTGATACCCAGGGCCTGATGGTGGTCACAGAGGTGAGTGGGCCTGATCCACTACCTTTTATCAACCTAATTGTAAGGCTAGAGAGATCTAATTGCTGAAATTGTACGTGAGCACACTCACTTTTAAGTAGAATTAACCTGTAGGGTTAATTCTACTTAAAAGGGGCAAAGAAACAGTCCAATGTGTGGCTCACTGCACAGTTTATATTCTCTTCCCCCTTTTAGCTAAATGGGTGAAGTTCGTGCAAAGATGTTTTCAATTGATTTGTTGTTAGAATGTAGGGGACAGAAAATTGATATCATGTTTGGAATGATGCACCTGGACACAAAGTTCTGGAGAAGCAGGACTGAGCATTTGTACTCAGGGGTACTTATTCCTTTGCCAGAGGCCATTGTCGGGACCTACTTCCTACTCAAGTCACAAGGCCAGGTTTGCTTGTTTCTTTAGAATTCAGCCTCTGTGTTTCACTTATGCTAATTTTTGTTCTTAGCATGCGTATAACACTAATTGTTTTCACTATTACTAATTAAGCAATTAATAAAACTTGACTGTGGGGTAGATAAATATTAATAGTACCCATTGGCTAGGAAAACACAGTCATTTTCATTTGTAGGTGGTGATATGGAAACAGAAGCATTCAAGTGTGGATTTGCAAGGAAAAAAGGGGACCTGAAAACAATAGCACTTGCAATTTTCAGCAGTAAAGCTGAGAAAAACTCAGAAGAGTCCTCAAATGAGTAAAATAATGAAAAGAAAATATCCATATGCTCTACAGAGAATTTTTATATAAGTAGCCAGATTTCAATAGCCGTTAATAGTAAACTTAAGGCAAAGTAATTCATTCAACTCAAAGCATAGTAGTTCTGTAGTTCATTAGTGGGAACACAGCCCATCCATTCTGAGAACTCTCAGTTTATCACTCTTTGCTCATCCAGTGCAGCATATGGCAGAGGGGACAAAGGAAATGTGATACTGGTCTTACATCACCGAGAAACAAATTGAGCTGGTCTGAAAATTTGCAGACTGGAAAAAAAATGTTTGTATTGTTTTAAACATTCTTACTATGTTCCTTTATGCTGAAGATGGTCACGGATGCCAGATCGTCACTATCCCATTACATCCCAGCCATAACAAAAATACACACAGGCACTATCAGAGCAGACAGAGAGAGAAAAGCACCTCTGACTGCCATTGTGGCACCTGGACAGAGGGTGGCAGCTGGCTGCCTTTGCTTCCTCTGTGCTCACAATAGGAATCCGATGACACAAAGGAGCAGATGACACATTTAGACTGGGTACGGGAGCAACTCTTCTGACCCTGTCACTTCCAGAGACAAGACCTAAAATAGCCTCCCCAGTAAAGCTTTAGAAATCAAACAACTCTCCTCTGTTTGGATGTCACAGTCTGGGATCATGACGGTAGGCGGAGGCTGCACCATCTGTCCCCTCTCACAACATGTTTTTTTTTTTTTTTCCCTGCTCATTCCTTAACTATATCTCAGACATCGACAGGTAGAACTTGCCGAAAATTATAAGGCTATCCCTTCTTATCTCTTCTGTCTCTTCTGATATAAAAAGGGAGTGTGATGGTTAATTTTATTGTGCGGAAATAACGTCAAAGACTTCACTATGTTTAAGATCAATGTAATGGTCTCTGGGTTTGAGAAAGTAGCCAAGCCTGTTCTCTTCTCAATGCACATGTCACTATCAAACAGAAATAGAGACAAAAGGACTATAGCTGACCTTGAAGGGAGCAACATGATAGACTAATGTAAAGGGCCCCTGTCATCTTAATGGTCCCAAACCACAATTTCACCCAAGTACAGGCAATGCAATTGCAATTACATTGTAATCCAGGTAAGTTTCACCTGCACCTGGGCTGAAAGAAGATTCTGGATCCACTGTTATACAGGCCTGTGGGAGTGTAGTTACTTTATGCACATGAGGAGTAAGACCATTACCAGCTCAAGGCTAAAGTCAATTTTAAAAAATGCTTATGTGCATGTAAGAATATTTCACAATGAATTCCACTACCATGCATTACACTTCTACCTAATAAGTTCAGAATTTAAAAAGAAAGAAAACGCTAATGGCTTAGAAAGAGGAAATGTGTTGATTTTCTCATAAAAGTCTTGTTGAAAACTATTTAAGTCCGGCTTTATCATGTAAGGTATTACAACAGTATCCTATTCAAAGGCAATGCCCATCATGGGAATATGCCACATTGGGGATGCCTGGGGATTAGAGGGCCTGGGCTCTGCTCCTTGTCACACACATGACCTTAATAGAGTAAATCATTCTAAATAGGCCTCAGCTTTCACATCGATAAACCAAGGCACAGCATACAACTGGGCTTTTCAAGAGATGGGATGTCTCACTGACTTCATGGATGGCTTGTCAAGTGTCAACCTCTTAGTTCTCTAGATCTCTCTCTCTTTTTTTTTTTTTTTTGGAAGTAGGGATTGAACCCAGAGCCTCTTGCATGATGATAGGCAAGTGCTCTGTGCTACACACTCAACCCTTTTAAAAAATTTGAGACAGCACCTCGCTAACTTAGGATCCTCCTGCCTCAGCTTCCTGAATAGCTAGGTAGGACTGCAGGCCTGCACTCTTGCATCCATCTAGTTTCCTGAATCTTAATGGCCACCAAGTCTACCAGCCTCTTCTTGTCACATCCCAAGGAGATGTCATTGACACCTCCCACTCTGCCAAATATGCTAAGGCTTCTGTAAAATGAAATGCCATTCTGGAAAAGGCTACTCATATCTTAGACTAACCACAGACCTCCATACCAGATGCCTGAAAGGTATTATGTTTTCCTTTTTCTTTGGTACTGGGGAATGAACCCAGGGACATTTACCCACTGAACATTTCCAGGTTCTTGCTATGTTGCTGAGGCTGGCCTTGACTCTTGAACAAATGTGTGACTAAATCAGGACAATGCAGAGGACATAGTGAGTGCTGTGGCATATGGGATTATGGATTTGTTATTCTCTGTGTTCATAACTAACCACTGGATTTCAATCCAGGTGTTGATTTCCATTGCATCCCTTCCTTCCCTGTTGACCTATGGTAGGGAAAAACAGTAAATGGGTGAATGGGATCATGGAGGCAGAATGATGCAGTGGATAAGAGGGTGTATGGACTCTGACACTCTGTAGTAACTGGCACACTGAGAAAATTTTTTTCTTATTCCTGCCTCACAGGGTTGCAGTGAGAACAAAATGACATAATCTATTTTAAGTGCTCCATGGAGAATATTGGATATGACTACTAGCCCAATAAATATGAATAGACCCTCTTTAGGGACCAGATTTTACATAGACCATTGTTCAACTGCCCCTTCCCTCAAGGGAAATATACAGGATGCTGGAGTTCTTTAAAGCCTGTCTTTAAAGAATTGTTTGGCTTTCATCTGAATAACTGCACATCTTGATTGTATCACACACTAGCCTGATTCTATAATGGGTGAAGAGAAAACATCATATAAATATTTAGTTACTTTGCTAACAAGCAGATAAAGATGAGATTGTTGATTTGGAGGAAAATTAATTGTGGGGAAAATGCTTTTCTTCCAAGTCTGATGTTAATAGCAATAAAACATTGAAGAACCTAGGAGTTACATTTTCAGCAAATATAACTGACTTAATGATGATAAAGTATATTTCAGATGAAAACAGGAGTTTAGCTTAGATTATTGATTTCACTGTCACTTGTAGACCTAGACCCATGATTTAGAGACTTAAATGAAACTGAACTGGGCTTTATACTGTCAGTTTACTGTTATTGATTGAAAGGGGTACAGTTAGTTCTTCTGAGGAAATCCACAGGTTTTTTTTTTTTTTGTTTGTTTGTTTGTTTTTCCTTTTTCTTTGGTACTGGGGAATGAACCCAGGGGCATTTAACTACTGAACAACATTTCCAGCCTTTCCTATTTTTTATTTTGAGACAGGTTCTTGCTACATTGCTGAGGCTGGCCTTGAACCTGTGATCTTCCTGCCTTAGCCTCCTGAGTTGCTGGGATAATAGGTGTGTGCCACTGTGCCTGAAGAATCCACAGGTATTTGAGATTAAACTGAATTATTCGAACAGAACATTGTATGTACATATAACAAAAAATAAGTGAACGGGAATAAAATGGCTTTTTCCTCCATCAATATTGGTGGACTCTGTTATTCAGGATGGTGGTCCAGAAAAATTCATGATAACGCCGTGAAAAATACTTTCTCATTTTCCTGCAGGAGAGCTGAAGCCAGGGCAGGCTTGCCTGTGTATCACAGGAAATGATCCATTCTAAAAGAGTACAGTTTACCTCTTATTTTACATCAAAGATTTTTGTGCATATGTGCAATTTGGATAAATCACTCAAAATTTCTACTTTTACTCTGTGCATACTACATCTGCATTAGAATTAGTTTTCTCATCTGCATTTGGAATGCATTTTATTTCCTATATTGTGCTCTTAATTAAATAAGAAAATTTTTGTCTTTTTTTTTTTTTGGTAGCAATTTTTACAGTCCCTATAAAAGCCAGGAGGCACACATTTCAGCAGAACATGATTCTTTTGGAATCTCCAAAAGCCCCGGCATCTCTCCCTGCCTTGTGATGTCCCTGAGGTATGCTATCTCACAGTGGCACATCTTTCTGTGTCGTACTGCTTAACTGTACCAAAGTAGATTTATCTGTTTACTAGTTATTACCTGGATTTGTAGCTACTTTTTTGTGGCTGACCTGAAGGGTCCCATTTTCCTTTTAACTGTACAAGACAACTTCCTTGTCTCTTTCCAAAGGTATCATTAAAGAGACAGGCATGGAAAGTCTTCCATCAGCTGTACACAGAGCTTCAACAGTGAGCTCTTCTGTTATGGTTTGGATATGAGGTGTCCCCTGAAAAACTCCTGTGTTAGATAACATAGGAATGTCGGAGGTGAAATGATTATATTATGAGGACCATCACCTCCTGGCTTAATCCATTTGGTGGATTAATCATTTAAATGGACTACTGGGTGGGACTGCAGGCAGGTAGGGTGTGGCCGGAAGAAATGGGTCACTGGGATGTTATTTTGGGGATTATATCTTGTCCCTAACTCCTTGAGCAATCTGTCTCTGTCTCTGTCTCTGTCTCTCTGCTTCCTGGCTGCCATGATTGGAACAGCTTTCTTCTGCTACGCCCTTCCACCATGATGGTTCTGCCTATAAAAGCTTCTGGAAGTCTCCTTTAAAAGATAGTTGGTATAAATAAGCTCTTCACTATCTTCGTACTCCTCAAACTTTTATTCTCCTGACAGAAATGTGGGTGTGATAACTGGAGCTAAAGCAGCTATTTTATGCTGACCATGGACTGAATATCTTGAAACCATGAGCCCAAAATAAACTTGTCCTTCTTATTTGTTCTTGTCAGGTATTTCGGTCACAGTGAACCTAAGTAACATATCTCCATTCCTTAGTTTTGTAATACAATGAACATAATTTTCAACAGGAGGAAAATAGGGATAAAGCCTTTGAAAGAGAAAAGACATTCAAATATGTTGTGGCAGAAATGGTCAGGTGCCCTCCTGATCTGATGCACCTTCTCCAGCCTCCTTAGGTGTGGCTTAGTGGCTAAGACCTGCTCAGAGATTATGGACATTGAACTATGAAAGCTTCTGGAAGTTTCTGTTAGAAGATAGCTGGTATAAAAGCTCTTTACTATATTCGTACACTTTAGACTTTAATTCTCCTGGCAGAAATTTGGGTATGATGATGGGGCTAAAGCAGCTATTTTAAGCTATTAGGGGACTTTAGAAATGGGGGCTATCTCCCATGGAAAAGCAAGATAGAAGGCAGAGACATCCTGGACTTAGAGCTATCTACCAGCCCTGTACTGACTCCGTAGGCATTTACATGTAAGAAAGAAATAACATTTTAGTTTATTTAAGCCACTACTCTTTTGGATATCGGTCACAGTGGAAACTAAGAAGTCTAACTCTGCTTATAAAAGTAGTCAAACCTCTTCAATTATGCAATATTAGAGCAAAACCTGAAGCAGTCAAAACTATTTGCAAAAGGAAACATGATACTTCGACAGGAAGGGTAGGAAAGAAGCCTAGCAAAAATGTTATCAAAATATCTGTACATCACAATATCTATACAGTATAAAATCAAAGTAATATTTATGTATGTGCCTGAGAAGTTGTCAATAGCTGATAAAATTCTTTTTAATTAAAAAAAAATTGGGAGAGCACCAACTGTGTTGTTCTCATGAGTCACATCCTTGTGAGAGTGCTGCAGGATAGGAGATATCTTGCTGCATGGGAAGTGTCTCTGTTTCACAGAAAGATGAATCAGAACTAATAAAATCTGAGGGACCTAGCAATTAGCCTCCACGGGGTATGGGGAAACACTCAGCAAAATTCACCAAACCAGCCAAATTTGGGCAAACGATGACCTGCGTTGACTCACTCTGCTCCATTAACATGGTCTTATGTTGTCTGAAGGCAGAAGAGTGGGGGAACAGGAGGAGACCTGCTGCATAGCGGTTACCCCTTATTCATGTTCCCCTCAGATGGACACATAAAAGAACTGTTCTACCCCGTCCATCTGTAGGATCATGCAGCACCCCAGGGTGGAGTACAGAACTGTCATGCCTGCCCTATAGCAGAGGAACTACAGCTCAGAGAAGTGAAGTCACTTCCCAGAACTCAAAGGCCTCTGCTGACTTTTAGGCTCCACTGAATGCTGTCCCTAAGTGGACGTTCATTTCACAGAAATTGGAAGAATCTTCCTACATATTTAAGTTCATTTTTACTAAGTTAAAAAAATATAAAGAGTCTGCCACTCCTTTGGGTACATCAAAATCTTTCATTTTCAAGAGGCTTCCAATTACTTGACCCAGAGTTAGTACTTTACAATTCTATTGGTCATTCATTGATGTCACTTCACGTGCCATCTAAAACACCCATGAATTTAGCCAGAGTGAATAAATAGAGATGTATTGCATCTATCAATCACAATTTCTTGGTTTGACAATGTGAGTTGCATTTCTATTCACAGAAGCATTTTGAAAAAAAAAAATCAAGGCAGAAAGTGACCTACCTTTTGAGTGAGCAGAGCTTGAACAACTTGGTTGGCTACCTTTAAAAAAAAAAAAGAAAAAAAAAAGTTGCTGTTTATAATAATGAGACTTTACACGCATGAACTGTAATTTACCAACAGATACTCCACAGCCCGCTGTGGCTAATTACCTCCTCACTTCCATTTTTTCCCTCTACTGCCAAAAGACCTGATTCTTTTCATAATAAGCCTATCCTTCCAGGTCATATTTCGCTATTTCGGAAGGTGACCTTGTTGCTAATTAAAATGGTTCAGCTGGAAAGATCATTCATACCTTGACTTTCACATTTTCATATTTGGAAAAAAAATAATACCCTTTCATATGTAAAGTACCCCAAGAAGGCTAAAAAAAAATGACACAGTGCACAAAACATGATCCTAATTATCTGTACACAGTTGCAATACTTTGCTGATTTACAATGTCCTTTGCTTCTCCTTCTTATTCCCTTGCTGTCCCACTGTTTTGCTGCTTAAAATTACTTGCAAGAGGGAAAGCTGAATGGCCTCATCTGGGGTCAACACATTGTTTCCTCTACATCTCGATTCTCTTTATCCACCCTTACGCCATCCCTTGTGGTTGCCACTTGTATTAGAACCGGGTAGTTACTTCCTTCCTCTAATACCCATGTTTTCCTCCTTTCTCAGTAACAAACCCCATGGATAGGGTACTGGGCAAATCCAACTACATTTCCCAGTCTCCCTGTAACTATGTGTCACCGTGTAACAACACTTTGGCCTATAATATAAAAGCAGACTCTTTAGGGGGTCTTATAGGAAATCTGAAAAGAAGAGGACTTTTTCCTTTCTCTGTCGGGGACATGAAAGTGACAGCTGGAGCTCCATTAGCTACCTTGACAGTGGAAGTAATATATTTAATGTATTTGGGTAGAAAAATTGGATAAGCCTGGTCCTGATGATGTTATGGGGCTACATTGTTTCTCTCTGAACTTCTGTGTGAGAGAAAAATAAAAGTCATTATTATTTTGAGTTTCTTCCCATAGACATAATTGAACATAATTCTTTCTGATGTACTAACAGAATCCTAAGTGTCTTCAGGTAATTGAGGATAGCGAGGAAAGCTGGGTCCATTCCAAGGAGGTGAGTCTTGATCAATCTCAACAAATCTCGACAATTCTAGTCCTTTTCAGCAACTAGTTAAGAAAGCAGGTGACACTGCTTGACCTAAAGGCCACACGTAAAACCAGTAACATGTCTCAGAGATTTTTCAAAGATCTGAAATTTGCCAGGTGTGGTGGTGCACATCTGCAATCCCAGCATCTCTGGAGGCTGAGGCAGGAGGATTGCAAGTTCAAAGCCAGTCTCAGCAACTTAGCAAGGCCCTAAGCAGCTTAGTGAGACCCTGTCTCTAAATAAAATCTAAAAAGGGGTAGGGATGTGGCTCAGTGTTAAGAGCCCCAGAATTTAATCCCTGGTACTGAAAGAAAAAAAATCTGGAATTTTATTCACATAGCTATTCATCATTTATATATATATGTGTGTGTGTGTGTGTATGTGAATGCAGATTTCAAGACACCTGAAACCAATCACCTACTAAACTTCACAGTAACCACAAAGCTATGTACCTACATAGCTGGTGCTGGTAAAACTAAGGTGGATAAAGTATTCAAGTGGTGTTTTCTTTTGGCCAGTATGTAAAGTGTAAGAATTCATTAATTCAGAATTAATAACCAAGTCAGAATATTTAAATATCCTAAATATAAGGTACCTTTTCACAATAATTCCTTCCTTCATTTATTTAATAAAAATATTCTAAGAATCTTCTTGCAAAGCTAGATGACTGGGATATAGTGGTATCTGGTAACTGGAATCAGGAAATTATAATTACAATTTTTAGAATTTGAGTACTAGGAATTGAACCCAGGAGTGCTTTAACACTGAACTACATTCCCTAGTACTCTTTATTTTTTTATTTTGAGACAGGGTCTTGTTGAGTTGCTCAGGCTGGCCTTGAACCAAATCTAAAAAGGGATGGGGATGACATTCTCCTGCCTTGGCCTCCTAAATCCCAGGCGTGCACCACCACGCCCAATTTTAACACAGCATAACAGACATGTGATTGCCATGGTAATCCTCACATCAACCCAAGACTATGCAGCACACTTGGCTTTTTTTTTTTTCTTGGTGACAAATTTATTTTTGGTGTTGCTAAACTATTTGTGCTTGTTTCCCTGTCTAGTGTAGCAGAACAGATTACAGAAAGAATGTTTTCATGGAGCTTAATTGTTTTTTGACTCAATATTGACAAAATAGCACATCCTTCATGACAGTTGGCTACCAGCAAGTCTCAGAGAAAATTAAAACACAGGCTGTCATCAGCGTTTGGTTAGGAGGCATTCATACCACAAGCAGCAAATGATGAGGGTCCCATTATCCATGATTTATTAGTAAACTGTATGCACAAGAGGGTTTTTTGTTTTGTTTTTGCCCATCAGTAGCTTTTCCAAATTTACCTTGTTTACATTAAGTAAAACAAAAAAGGCCTTCACTGAAACGGACTATGGTTTTGGAGAAAAGGTATTCTTATTAATATTTGAGTGAAGCTCAAGTTCAAAAGCCTACCCAAGAATTACCATGTACAAGAACAAACCTGATGCTCCATTCTTCCTTTAACTTTTCATTCGTACGTGACCACAACAGTGACAAAAAAATTTTCACTTCAAACAAATTGACAACAGCATTACTGTGAAAATGTTTTAGCTTTTAAACATTCATTCCAACTCATAATTTAAAGTCAAACAACATATCTATTCTATTGTTGGCAAATAAAATAAAGCAGGATGGAACTAGTCATGTATTGAATCAGGAACAATGCACCCAAGTTAATTCCACCATAAGTAATTTAGTCTTTTTTTTTTTTTAGTGTCAAACTTTGGATTTGATTTACATTCTCATAAAACTGCCGAGTATCAATATTTTCTTTTCTTCCTCCAAACTGGTCTCACTTAAACCATTCTGTGTAACAGTGGTCACATAAAATAGCTCTATCCATGATTTAATGGGAGACATAGAGTAATATCCTAACTGTAACAGCCCACAGGAGAAAATGTGTTATATCTTTGCAATCCAAGTAGTTGCCCCACAGGCTTACAGACTGACACAGTTCCTTCTGGCGTGTACTTTGGACAATTGTTTGCTCTGCCTGAAAATTGAACTAAGATACACTAATACATTATTTCTTTACCTACAGATATGGGATTCTATTACCCAAAAGGACTCACAGGCTCTTTGCAGAAAAGCAGGCAGGTTGTACTAATTCTTTTCTTTGTGCTGTCTAAAAAGACAGTTTCCTAGTTTTTGTTTCTGCTTTTAACAGTTAAGCTTCCCAGATGCATCAATAGAACAGTCGTTTGGAGTTTGTGGCTGCAACCTCTAACTGGCTCACAAGATGATGTTCTGAATGAGCTCCTGCACATAATGCTCTAGCATTACACCCTGAGCACTTGGGTTCCAAATAATCAGACACCAGCAGGCCCAGCTAATGAGAACAAATAACTTCCAGTGTCACCTGCCAGCTTTCTCTCCAAAGAAAGGAAATATAGCAGCTGAGTTGGGCCAGAGGGACACGCAGGGCAAAGCTGATAGTCCTTAAGCCCCTGGCTTGTGTTGCAACCTTCTCGGGGTCTCTGTGGAGACTTCCTCTCTTTACTCTTAGGAAATGGAGCAGAGTTGCAGGTGAAATAGAGAAGCCCAGGAGAACACCTGAGTATATCCCTTTTCCTTCTCAGTAATAATAATAATGAGCTAGCTCCTCCGATACCCAGATACCTAGTTCATCTTCTACCCCACAAGACTTAGCTCTTCCTCCTGCTGGGACACAGGTTCCCAATTCCCCTGGAAGGAGGCAGAGGAAGAAGAAGTTGGAGCTGCTGAGTTATCTATTATTTGTTGCAAAACAATCCCTGAGGCTGGATGAGAAGTTACAGTGGAGAGTTTATTCAGCCAATTCTCAGGGCATTGAGAAGACACCCCAGGGCTCTAGTATAGGGAAGAGGGAGGCGAAACTCAGGGGAGTCAGAACTCAAAAAAGTCTTCTGTACCTTGCTTTCGTACTTTGGTGTGTTATTCTATCATGTGAAGCAACTGTCATTTCAGCAAGGTAACTTGAAAAACTGGTTGAAAACGCACGTGTCTTTGAAGCCGTGCTTTGGAGGAATTTTCTGCTTACTAGACTGAGGCAGCTGGAGAAAAGAAGGAAGAATATCAGGCCAGAATAAAAAAAAAAAGACTTGGGTTCAAAAACTGCCTGCATTGATGGGACACTGACATGTGGGAGGATGGGGCAGCAACTATAAAACAGAGGAACTGTCTGTCCCTAATGTTGTGAAAACTGCATGAGAAGATGGCCATCATCCAAGAAACCACCTAGGACAGGCCTGATATGAGGTTGTCACTCGATAAATATAGAACATGAAAGGGGCGGGGGGGGGGTTGAACTTCAGAGAATTTGACACCTTTTCAAATAAGCAGCTAAGAAAGAAGGATTTGAAAATAAGAGATTTTATTTTTTCTAAGTGAGTGAGGGGTGTGTGGATGTGTGTGTGTGTGTGTGTGTGTACATACACACACACACACACACACACACACACACACACACACACAAATCACTAGGCACCCATACTATTCATTTACCAAAACAGCCATATAAGATAAAAATGAGAAACTAGAAGGGGTATCTGCGTGCCTCACCGTGCCACAGGATGAGGGCACTCTGATAATGTTGATCCTGAGTCTTCCTAAACCAAAGCCCATGTGGTCTCTTCTAATTCAAATCAGTCTTTTAAGTGGATCTACTATTTTTTTTATCTGATTGATCCTTTGGATAATCTTTTGGATTGCTGCATAATAAATGACTGTTCATCTCAGAGGGGATAACTGAAGAAATTAGTCTAAATATGTATGTGGGATTTTGGGGAAAGTAATTTGGAATTAATTTCCTGCTGCTAGTCTCCAGTCATTCGTTTAGTCATTTAACAAATATGCAGTAAGCACTTAATATAGGCAAAGAATCATGCTGGGTCCTGAAAACATAACGGTCAATAGGATGTGGATGCTGCTTTGAGGTGGCTGGAGGGTGGGCCGACAAGAAGATCATCTATGCATTTCAGGGCCTTGTCAGGAAGTGGGTGCCGGGAGTACATGAAAACCATGAGCAGGATCCTTGTCCATCTACAAGACTGTATCCACTAAGACACGGGTTTTAAAGACTATATAGGGGCCAGATGTGGGATATGCATGAGAATGTCCTGGTAATGATTCCACAATCCAGCCTAAGCATATGGATCAGAGACATGTCAGAGAGATGTTCTTAATGTACTTCTGTCTTTATTGAGTGTTGGCCTAAAATATATTCTGGCATTATTTTTTTTCTATTTCAGAATGATATTCAATAGTCTCATTTTTCTTGCCCTTTCCTGTGCTTTGAAATACAGAAGTTGAAGAAGAACCTGACCTCAGCATCCTCTCTGACTCTATGGGCTGGGGCCCAGCTCTGAGGGTCTGAAGGGGAGGGCAGCTGCTCTGAATTCATAGGCAGAAGCTTCATCACCTGGAAAGATTTTGAATACTGCAAATTTCCTGTCCTAACATAGCATACTGACTGCAAAGAACTGGCCCAGGTCTGAGAAGGCGAAATTTTACCACTCATCTTTCTGATGCAGAAGGTCCTAGGAACAAACTTTGAGAAATGCTGGGATAGAGTTTATTTATTGTTGGCACTAGGGATTTAACCCAGGGGCACTTTACCACTAAGCCATATCTCAGCTTTTATTTATTTATTTTTTTAATTTTGAAACAGAGTCTCACACCAAGTTGCTGAGGCTGGCCTAAAACTTGTAATCCTCCTGTCTCAGCCTCTTGAGTTTTGGGGTGATAGGCATGTACCACCACACCTGGTGGTAGTGTTTATTTTTGGTTCAGAGCTTTGCATTATTAATTCAGAATAACCTAAAACTTCTGCATAGGTCAGTGCTTCAAATTTCAAGGCTCTATCCCAGGCAAGACTGTATCCCAGGGAAGAATCTGATCAGAATCTCAGGGGTGCAGCCTCACCAAAAGCACTTCTGAAGCTCCCCAAGCATGGCCAACATGTACAGGGGTGAGTGCCACTTGCCTTCCCACATGTGAAACTCCACCTCATGGGCTCCATCCAGCTCCTCTGCTGAAGATGCCCTCTCCAATTCTGTCCCCTTCACCACCCACCCACCTGCTCCTCCCTCCATCCTCTGGTGCCTGAGCCATCTGTTCCTGAAGTCTCCTTTGCAGCTCATTTGCTCTGAGTTTCTCTTGGCCCCTTTCTTTGTGATTCTGCATTTTCCTACTTCTGCTAGTTAGGGCCTGCATGAGGTCAACACCCAGTAAAGGTTGGTAGATTACAACTCAGTCCATCTAAATGAAATGCAGTGGTCTTAACAGGTATAATTTTACTTATTATATATATGCCATTACACTTCTGTACATGGGAATAGTTGTTCTGAATGGAATTATGGCCAAAGCAATACTATGAATAAATAGCAATTCACCAATAGCCAGTGAACTGCCTGTCAAACAGGCAGCCTAATAAACTAGATTCAAACATGGAGAACTCTAAAATCCTAAGGAAAAATGAAATGAATCCTTGATTTTACCTCTGTACTTCCCATCAAGGAAATGATGAGATGGATAGCAGTGGAGGTGATGGTGAGGGGTGTGTGTGTGTGTGTGTGTGTGTGTGTGTGTGTGTGTGTGTGTGTTTGTGTGTATGCATGTGCACTTGTGGGCATGTGCATACACCTATCAAACCAGGGAATATGTAGCTGTGTGTATCTATGCATGTGGGTCTCTTTATTTTTGAGTAAACACCCTCTTTTAGTAGAAAACACAGAAAGAATTTCAGACTCTTGGTGTTTTTTCCCCAAATCCTCAATATATTCTCTGTTTCCCAGAAAATAACAATCAATGCAGATAGGATTGAGGAACATTAAAATTTACATGTTATTCACCTGAGTATGTTTTATGAAACCTACCAGCAAGGAAATAACTTACATGAGCCTTACCTTGTTAGTTTGTCTAATTAGTATAAAGTCTTGAACAGAATTTCCAGTTGGCATTATTACTACATTGAACTACCCCTTTGAGAGCATTCTCTTACAATGCACAGAAATGGATTGTCTACCTCATGCAATTAGTTACAAAACAACTGGCATGTGTAATCAGGGGCCAGTTTTTGTGAATACAAAACATTTGCATTGCTCAGAGGTAGTTCTTTGTTGTAATCACCTCTTTGGCAACTGTTAATTTTTGCAATTAAGAACAGAGGGACTTCCCCTCTGAAAATTCTGCCTACATTGGAAACTCTATGAAATGGTTTTGTGGGTAAAAACTTGTGTTTCTCCCGACAAATTCTGACAAGACCTTCAGAACACACAGACATGGCAAACACATAGAAACCAGACCGTGGTTTCCAAAGAGAAATGTTGTGAGCTTTTTGATAGATGGAGAGGGGTGACCTAGGAAAGAACTGTGACACATAAAAAGTTTCTGTGATGTGAGTCTCATAAATTTGACTTTCGAGTACAGATAAAGTCTCATTGGAAATTTCTGTGCAGGAGGTTAAAATGAAACTTTGCTGATCAATGCGTATGACCCAAGGGCATTATTGGTTCCTTTAAACACCCATAGATCTATTTGATCTTTCTTGCCCTAAACTTTGATTGGACCAAGAGGCTGGGGAGCAGGGGTGAGGGCTGCCGAACTGGCCTCTCTAGACCCTGAGCCTTTATGCCTTCTTTTATGTCAACCAACTTTTCATGATTCTTTTAACTCTGGACATTGTAAAGATTATTCTGCTCCTGACAGGGCAGAAAATTACAAACACCATATTGCTTTAATAACCAATGTGTTTGGCTGGAAATATAACGCAGTGAAAATACTGAATATTAATCTTTTTTTCTGGGGACATCTTGGGAGTTCTCTAATCGCATATAAGCAAAAAATACAAATCAGACTGTTCTCAGGCAGGGCTCCCAGTGCAGCAGGCACCAGCACCAACTGGAGAGTCTGGTGACACACGGATGACGACGGGCTCACCCCGAGTCTGATTCTGTGAGTCTCAGTGGGACCCCAGAGTCGCCATTCCTAACAAGGTCCCTGGGAGGTGGATGTTGCCCCTCCAGAAATCATGTTCCAAGAAAAAGTGCTGCAGGAAAACCCCAAGTGTGACCTGTACACTGAGGACAGAGACAGACTCTGAAGAACTATATGGTGATACAGTGGGTGTCATAGCTGGGATGAGAGAAAGCATGCTTTACAGTCTCGCACATCAGCCACCAGAACAGCATGGCTGAAGAGAGGGGATGGAAATGGGCAAGACACATCAAGAGGAGCTTGTTGGAAACATATTTCCTATTTGTTAGTAGGGAGAAAAAGGACTGACAATATTTTGGTAATTCCCACTGGCAGAGTCATAGAAACATAATTAAGTATAGCTTTTCAAAAATCTGTTCAATGAATCTCCAACTGAATCTCCCAGAGCACTCATGAGTTTTAGGATGTTGGGCAAATGCCTAAAGAAGTCCTCTCATTTACGTGATGCCAGCAATCACTAGTAAGTCTCAGAGGCGATATTTCCAATGAGGGGAAAGGCCTGTCCCAGCAGGAAGCCACAGCGGGCATCTCCAGCAGGATGACTGGTTGGCAGTGAGGTGGAAGGCTGAGGGGAGGACAGGGCGAGGCACACTACTGGCTTCCCCCTTACCTGCCCCAAACCCAAACACCCAAGTCTCTGTCTTCATCTCTTTATTATCATCAAATAATATTTATTGAGTTTACTCATGCATGTGGTCCTGTCTCCTTCTATTCTGCTCAAATTTTCTTCCTCGCTTCCCTTTCTCTTTTTGGCTTGTGCTCAATCTACTGATTTTTTCCCTCTGGCTGCCAACTGTGAACATCGTCCCACCCACTCTATCAAGGATTTGTTTTTTTTTTTTTTTTCAGAGATGGCATCCAATTGCAGATGCAACGTGCCCTAGTGTCATTTTTCTCATTCATAGGCAGGGATCACACTTATTGGACAGAAGGAATTGATCACACAGGGAAGCACACTCCAACTGTGCCCTAAGAATATTAAGTAATAACCAGAAGGAATTTACAGATGCCTGTATTTGTAAATAAGAATAGAGGGAGGGGGCTGGTGTTGTGGCTCAGTGGTTGAGTGCTTGCCTCCCATGCTTGAGCTACTGGGTTCACTCCTTAGCACACATAAAAAAAAAAAAAACAAATAAAACAAAGCTACTGTATCCATCTACAACTAAAAAATATATGAAAAAAAAAAGAATAGGGGGGAGAGAGGAAAAGAGAAGGACACACACACACACACACACACACACACACTGCTGATCTTCCTTCTTACAAGTTTACAACTTCCCTTTGGAGCAGCAAATGCTAAGGTTCTTTGGATGCTCCTGATAAGCATACACTAATAATCAGATAAGCCTCTGATTATGAGGCTCTGACCAGCCCATATGATGGACCTCTCTATTCACCTTACCTCATCCAGACATCGCTCATACTGTTCTCTTTGATTTTCATTTTCCAAAGCCAAGGCTGAATTCTCCGCCTGCAGTCAGGTACAAAAATAACACAAATGAATCAATGGAATGCTCTGTTGTGTGACAACTCATTCAATACATTTACTAAATATATCTCTTCAGGATCCCAAATAATCTTTTAGAAGTACCTATGACAAGTTCGCTCTAAGTACTATTATAAATATCTCAGGAATGACTTCTGCCTTATCAACTCTCTCACAAAAATACATGATAATTTTAGGAAATGCAAAATTTGATATTCCAAACAGGTAGAAAAATCAAACCATGGCTTGATGTGAGAGTGTTCCATAGAAAGATTACAATGTTTAGCTCATTCAAGGAAAATGTGAATGTAAGAAATGCCTTAATCTACTTCATTAAGACCTGTCACAATCTCACAGGCTCATATTTGTTGAGGCCACAGAAAAGAATCTCAGGTAAAGTCATGAACAAAAGCCGAATTCTGAAATGCTAACTAAACATGTTATTTTCACTGTTATTCATTGACATTTGAATATCAAAAGACAATGAGAAATGGAAGACTTGAACTTGGCTTAAGACACCCTCTTCCCACCATTCTTCTTCTAATTACTGCTTTCATGCTCCACAGGGCCACGTGGGTATGTGAATGTTGAGCATGGTGACTACAGAACTGTGTGGAAGAGCAAGAAGGGGAGATGTGATCTGGAAAAGCAGATCTTTTAGGAGTGTGAAATGGTGTCTGAGGACCTGGTTCCAGTGTGGCCGCAGTGGTCCTGTTTGTACCCTGAACTGTGCAAGTCACCCCTGCCCAGAGCTGTGACAATGATCACCTAGTCACCTCCCAAGAAAACAGCTCTACCCATCTCTTCCCTTGCATTTGGCAGTGGTGCTCTGAGTCAGTGTGTAGAAAGCACAATGTGTTTTTAGACGGACATAGATTAACATTTTTCTTTCATAACTTCTCTGTATCCATTTTCTTTTACATTTGGAGATGATAATTCCAAACTTATGATTTACAAGAACAGTATAAAGAACTCCCACACACATTTTGTCAGATTCACTAATCATTAACCTTTTGCCACCTCTGCTATATCGTTCTCTTTCCCTTTCATTTTTTCCCTGGACCTTGAAAATAGGTTGCAGAAATGACAGCCTTTACCCCCGAACACTTCTGTGTACTTCTGAATAATAAAGACATTCTCTTGCATGATCATAGTCTAGGTGTTGATTTAAGGAAACACAACATTAATAGAGCACAACAATCTAACACACAGTCCATATTCCAGTTTCATCACTTGTCCCAACATGTCCTTTATGGCACTTTTTTCTAGTCTATAATGCTATCCACAATCATGCTTTGTATTCTAATGTCGTCATCATTCATCCAGTATCCTTTAATTGGAAGCAATTCCCATGTTTTTCATGTTGCTTTTTTCCTTCCTTCCTCCTCCTTTCCTTTCTGAGTAGAGGTCAGTTATTGTGTACAAAGTCCCTTAATTTGGGATTGTCTGAAGTGTCCTCATGCACACATGGCAGGAACAGTGACCTGTCTGATGCTGGGTCCTTCCGCATGCACCATATCAGTCTAATGTGAGCCATGCATTCCATTATTGGACATGTTGACTTTCATTACATGCTGAAAGTGGAGTCTGCCAAATCTCTGCTCCATAAAATCACCATTTCCCCCTCTTATAACTAATAAGCAATTTTGATGGAGATATTTTGAGGTTATAAAAATATCCTATTGCAGGAAAGATGGTGGAATGAGACAGACATCATTACCTTAGGTACATGTATGATGGCACGAATGGTGTGACCATACTTTGTGTAAAACCAGAGAAGTGAAAAATTGTGCTCCATTTGTGTAAAATGAACCCAAGAACATTCTGCTGTCATGTATAACATGATCAGAACAAATAAATTTGAAATATATATATATATATATTTAAACAAAAAAGCAGTCTCTCTCTCTCTCTCTCTGTCTCTCTCTCTGTCTCTCTCTCTCTCTCTC